CCGCCCCCTCCCTGCCCCGGGGTTGCTCAGCTCTCCTCGATTCTGAGATCATTCACACCAGTTCCAGGCGTCGGCCACCAGGACTCGCTTCTGAGACCTGGGTCCCTCCACGCCCTCTCTCCCCCGCACCCTCTCTGGCTCTCTGGCTCACTTGCTCTCTCTCGACCCGCCTATGCTTTTTATATACTTTCCTGTGGTTAATATCAGGCACCCTTCCAGGAAGGCTGAGACAGCTAAATATTCACGCTCTTTACAGGACTGTGGCATGTAGGGGAAAGTAGGGCCAAGAAGCTCACCAGTGCAAATTGCTCAACTAAGCGCTGTTATGTAACAATGTCCATAAACGGAAACAGATACGGCCCATCCAAAGTTTGTTGACCTAATTAATGACTTTTGCGGGAAGATATTTTTAGTTGATTTGGCAGATAAACTGTATTACTTTTAACAGAAAGACTGCCGTGGGTTAACTGTGAAAAAACCGTTTAAATTCTTTGATTGTAATGGTACTCACGAGTTTGGTGGGGAGGAGACACAATGGGGTGCGAAGAGGAGGCTGTGGGCCCATTTTCAACCAGACCTTTCCTCCTTTACTTCCAAAGTGTCCTTTTCTCTCTTCGCTTGCCCTTTTGTCCTCACTGCATTAACACCCTCTAAACTTTAGGGTCTAAAGGGTGATAGTTGCCTAGAGAATGATAGAATTTTCCAGATGAGGATCCCGAGGCTAGCTAAAACCAGACTGAAGGCTAGAACCTAGTCTAGGGCTTTTTTTTTCTTTCATGCAAAATTTAATTTATTTTTAAATTTTATTTATTTATGTAATCAATATAATACATGCTTATTACAAAAAATGCAGAAATTGCAGATAATTTTGTTTTTTTACATGAGCTTTTACATGATCATACACTTGATTGCTCTGATGTGTAGCCTGTATTATTGACAGGAAGCCACTGTCAGGATAGAATATGGAGACAGAATGGTTTCCTGTAGGCAAAGATGTCAGACATGGGTGCATTTTGTCTCCCTATTAGTTTAATGCCGAACATATACAAAAATGTGGGCTAGACTCAGAGGAAGGAGGATATTGGTAAAAGAAATATCAGCAACTTAAAATGTGCATGTGACACCATCTTACTGGCAGAAAGTAGCAACGATTTGAAATGATTTTTGATAAAAGCGAAAGAAGAAAGTGCCAAAGCTGGACTGCATTTGAACATCACGAAGAGACAAATCATGACTACAGAAAAAATACACAACTTTAACATAGACAGTGAAGACAATGAAATTGTTAAAGATTTTGTTTACCTTGGTTCTCTCATCAATTCAAATGGAGCCTGCAATCAAGAAATCAAGACAAGGCTGAGACTTGGAAGGGCAGCAATGGAAGAATATGGAAAGTGCACCAAGAGCAAAGATCTGTCATTGGAGACCAGGGCTAAGGCCATCCACACCTTCATATTCCCAATTCCTATGTATACATGCAAAGTTGGACAGTGAAGGTGGCTGATAAGAGAAATATTGATTCATTTGAAATATGGTGTTGGAGGAGAGCTCTATGGATTCCCCAGAAATATGCCAGAATTGCCAGAAATATGAACAAGTGAGCCCTAGAGCAACTTAAGCCCGAAACATTGCTGGAGGCAAATGACAAAACTGAAGCTATCGTACTTTGGACATACCATGAGAAGGCACTGTTCTTTGAAAAAGATAATAATGCTGGGAAAAATAGAAGGGAGCAGTAAAAGAGGAAGACCAAGTATAAGATGGATTGATTCCACAAAAAAGAAGCCACAGGCCTGAGTCTATAGGAGCTGAGCAGGGCTGCTGAGGATAGGACATTGTGGACGTCACTTTCATGGGATCACCAGAAGTAACACACACACACACACACTATATATATATATATAT